GGAGAGGAAGCAGTACAAAGGGAAAAGTCAATATTAAAAGGGATTCAAAAGATAATCTCTTCCTGGGATTTCAAGTTAGATAAAGAACTGCACTCAGTCTTCAAATTTTGTATGGCTGCTAGTTGGTGGCAGAGATGGGCCTAACGTGCAGAACTTGTGCTCTTCCCTCACAAAGAGGCCTCCCCACCCATCCTTTTCATGTGGCCTCCTTATTCTAATGAAAACTAATACATTCAAAATTGCCCTCAGTTAGATGAACTGACTCATTGTGTACATGCTACCTTAGTCGTTCACAGAGGACACCTCTACTAGGATATTTCAGCGCCATTTAATAAACTGTCCAGACACTTTCAAGGAACTAAATGTATCCTCATGACTAAGAGACTATAAAGAACCACCTCTCATTACTGGACTGCCAAGGCTGAGTTTACTCACTACATAAACAGGTCTATTTTACATTCATGGTATTTTATATAAATATGAGTATTAAATAGGGAGCTCTGGTGGTGTAGTGCCTAAGGTACATGACTGCTAACCAGAAGACTGGCAGTTCAAACCCACCAGCCACTCCTCGGAAGGAAGATGGGGCAATCTACTTCCACAGAGATACCGCCTCGGAAACCCAAGGAGGAGTCGCTATGAGTCGGATCCAAATCGACAGCATGGAGTTTTTTTAGCTATACACAAATACGTATAGTAGATAAGGCATTTGACTGCTAACCAGAAGGTTGGTGGTTCAAACCCACCAGCCACTCTGCGGGAAGAAGACTGGCCAATCTACTTCTGTAAAGATTTACTGCCTTACCTCAGAAACCCAAAAGGGGTCGCCATGAGTCAGAATTGACTCGATGACAGTGAATTTGGGTTTTTTTTTGGTTTGTCATACACATAAAAACTGCTAATTGCAATGCAAACTGGACCGAGGTCAACTTCTGATATCCTAATTAAAAGTTACAAATGCAAATTACAATCACTTTAATCTAGATATTAAAGCAAAAGCTACATATTCACTTTTTATATATGGCATTATCTTAAAGCTCTGCATTTCAGAAACCCACACAAACAAGCACAATTCGCCAGTTTTATAAAAGCAATTCAGAAGTTTAGACTATATTGACTTTTCAATATGATTTCAAAAGGATATTAAATTACCTAGTCAAACTGGTTATGTGCGTTCTTTGAGTCTATTAGCCATGAATCTCCAGAGTCAGTCAATTGATTCAATACAGTAAAAACTAAGATAAGAAACTGGATTCCAGTTCTAATTCATAAAATGTCTCCATTTTTCACATGAATAAAATGGATTTGATACTAGTAATTAACTCAATCACTGAAAAGCAAAGGTCAAGATCAACCAGTAGTCACTTTTAAAGTCTAAATGCTATTAGTATAAAATAACACAGATGCATTATACTATTACTACCACTGTTTAACTGAAGTACTGGATCCTCCAAGCTTCTGCAAATTTAAAAAATAAATGTGTGCCATCAAAACAGGTTTGTATCTAGACCCTGAGACCCTGAGATGACTTCAAAATCATGGTAATGAGATATATATATATATGGTAATGCTATAGTGATACTGCCTCAGAAACCCAAGGAGGGGTCGCTATGAGTCGGGTCCGACTCCATGGCGTATAACAACAATATATATACATATATATATATACATATACACACACACACACACACACACACACATATGGTGTTTGTTGTTATGTGCCATGGAGTCGTCCTC